CAGGCAATTTTCCTCTCGCTATCGTGGAGGACCCATCATCATTGGTGAGTTAACTTCTACCAAACATAAGTCGAGCAAGTCTCCTTCTAACTTTATAATCAGATTCAGAGAGGCCGCTATGCGGGTTATTGAAACCCCACTCCCTAAAGTCATGAAGGTAAGCATGGCATTAGAGAACATGACTCTAGAATATATCACGTTCTTCAGTATGGGCACAGTCCCATACTCGTTTGATGTTATGCTTGAAAGAATATCACGATACGAGCCATCCAAGGAAGATAAAACCGCAGTCAAAAAACCCTCTCAAGAAGGAGAGGTGAACATGATCAAAAAAAGAAATCCTCTTACAAACCATTCACAAGAAAGAACTAAAATGCAAACTTCCACACCAAAGGAATTCACTCCCATTGATGAGCCTATGACCGATGTCCTTAATAAGTGCCTTAAGGTAAGGCTCATAGAAATACCAGCAAAAGCCAAGATTCCTCCTTTCCATGGAGCCGATACATCTCGATGGTGCGATTGGCATCAAAACTATGCTCATAACACTGAGGAATGTCGAGCTTTCAGATATAGAGTACAAGATCTCATCGATAACGACATGATAAGTGTCAAAAAGGAAGATGTTGACGGTAAAGAAGAATCAAAAACTCTAGATGTCTCGACAAAGAATACTGATGTCAACCTGATTAACTTAGGAGAATCACAAGTTGTGCCCAAACCCGAAGAACATCTACAAAGGCCTTGGATCACAAGAAGAAATCAACTAGAAAGTCCAGTAGATGAAAAACAAAACGAGCATAACCTCACCCAGGAGTTAATGATTAAGGATACTCAAGATCAAAGCAGTGAGGATAATCGTAGCTCCAAGCGCATAACCGAAGAAAGGGGAAAAGAAAGGGGTATCACATATGAAATTTCACTCTAAGATACACTCCCAAAAGTGGCACGAGAAATCCTCATCATCAAGAATCACACTAGGGCGTATGAACCCTTCAACCCGTACTTTCAAGTTAACACAATAAATGGTTCCTACGTGTGTGACAATGAATCAAACTCTCAAGAGCAATACGAACTCTTGCATAAGCTCAACCAAGGTTTTGAAGCTATGGAATCCCAAGCCCATGATGGCAAGAAAAATCTTAATTCTGAGACAATAACTCATGAGGGGGCAAATGAGCAAGTGCGAAAATGAAGCCCTTCACCTCAAAACCTTGACGACCCACTTAAGTGGGATCAATATGATGAGGACGACATGTTAAAAATTGATGTGATCCAGATTAATGAGAAGGGATCATCTTCTAAACAAAGGGTCAACACCCCAAAGTCTACCATTACGCTTCTAAACAAAGGGCCAACAACTCAAATATCAAAAGAAGTCGAACCTTTAGAAATTCTAAGTGGCCCACCTGAGGCACCTTCACTGGACTTTTTGGCCAACCCACTTATATGGGATGAGGAGCCAAGCATAGAAGATTTAACCGAGTCACCTCTCAAGGTGAACCCAGTTATAGATAATAGAGAAACAAAGAGCCCAAATTCGACTATTCCCAAAGATTTGGCATCTTCACTAGAGTTGATAGAGCTCGAACTTTTGAAAATTCTAAGGGGCCCACTTGGGCCACCTTCACAAGTTTTTTGAATGATCCATCAATCTGGGATCAAGAATTGGACATTGAAAATCCGACCATGTTACCTTCACAAAAGGCAGCTCTCTAAAAGTCATTAACGATATGAGTACAACTCCGATAACCGCAGCACCCCCATACCAAGAGAATTTATCCAGTGAAGAACAAGTTCCCAATGAAATTGAAAGTCATGCAGGGGCAACCCCATCAAAATATTCAATAGGGACAAACTCTTCTCCTGAAGAGGATACAATAGGGTAAACTAATGAGATTTAACGCTTGTTTGTTGATTCCCTACATGTCATAAGGCCATTTAATACAACAGAGGAAACTAATGAGATTGGACCCTTCTTCGTTGACTCCCAACATGCCGTAAGACCATATAATACCAACTCAATCACTCCTCTTGTGCGAGAGTCTCACCTAAGCTCGAGCACTGAAAAGGATCCTACCATGGAGTTCACCTTCGAAAAGAAATTCAAAATTGTAATGAAAAAGATTAACGAAAAGGAGTTGGGTGATCACTCGCCCTTTTGCAAATAAACAAATGAGGCATTCATGCCTCACACTTCAAGTACTCCATTAACGGGAAAACCCTGATGAGCCTATCCATCCATACAGGAGACTGAGGGATTAGGAAACTGAGAGTAACTTTTAGTCCCAAAATCAAGGTTCAAGTGGAGCAGTTTAAAGAAAAAGATCAACAGAGATTCAGCAACCATTGTCAAAAAGATTTTGGATGCTAACTTGGGTAAATGGAAATCAGAGGAAGATCGATATTAGAACATCCCTACCACTTGGAGGAGGGAAAGATGATCGAATTCTTACATGATCTTAAGACAAATTGCTAAAAAAAAAGGGGGCACCTTTGACTCTTCTTCTTTGCCCTCCTTTTCCTTTGTCATTCTTTTCTTCTTAAAAAAAAAAAAATCTCATCCGTGAGCTAAAATCCCAAAAGATTCCCAAGCATTGGAAAAAATATCACCGGGGTGAAAATTCGAAAGGAACCCCGGGGCGACGAGAAAATAAATAAAAAATCTCATCCGTTGGGCTAAAAATATGAAAGGATTCCCTAGCGCTGGAAAAAAAGTCACTGGGATGAAAATCCGAAAGAAACCTGAGGCGAGATAAATGAAGGAACTTCTTTCCTTTCTTCTACTCTCCAAAGTCTTTTCTCTCTAAACATCTTCTCTTCCTCCCCCTGTGTCAAAGTGGTGTTAAAAGAAAATCAATAAGCATTAGCCTGGCGGAACATTGTTAAGGACCTAGATCGTCTGAAACTTTGAAAGGTAAGTGGTGGAGGAATGAAATCGGAAATCCAAAGATATTTTGAACACCCAGGGGCGGAATCCTGTATTTTCAAGACTCTGTTATGCTCGAAACTTCAAAGAACTCTCCTTGAATTGCAATACAAGAGCTGAGGTTAGAAGATAAAGAAATACTTGATGATGCCTAGTCCCGAAGATTCAAGCAAGGACCTGATACGCTCACATAAGGTCCACCAAAGGGGTCACAAGTGGTTAAACTGTAAGACTTACATTAAAAGAAAACCACCCCCCAACATGGGCAGCAAAATAATAATAATAATAATAATAATAATAATAATAATAATAAAAATAAAAACTCCACGGTCGTATGAGTATAACTGCCAACTACACTGTCCATCGTTGGATGACACTAAACTGCTTACAGGGCTCTATGGTTGTAAGAGTTAAAACTGCTAACCAAAATTTATTTTTCAAAATATCTTTTCTTTTGAAAATTTCCATTATATGTCTTGTGTTTTCAAAAACTTTAATTTCTTTGTATAAATCGAAACCTGTCCTTGCTCTAGGTTCTATTTCGAATCTCTCCCTCTTTTCAAAATCACTAAAACATCTTCTAAAACACAGGAGCTTGGACACCCGTAAATGATGATTTACGACGTTGTCACCGCATCTCTTCATCTCTCTCTCTTCAGAATTGGCCAGACAAGCCTTTTTCCCAGACAATCCTTTTCCTAAGAAAGAAAACCCTAGGGAATCAAAGAAACCTATAAAAGACCTTATGAAACCCTAAGGGAATCAAATAAAATACCAAGTTTAAGAATTTGATATTGTGAAAACCCCTGAAGTTAAGTGGCATGGCCAGAAAATCCAACTCGAGTTTCAAGCTTATTTAACTCATCGACATCTCACCCTATGATGAAAGTGCCCTAGGTGGGTGAGCTCAAGAGCGTAATGACTTGGAGGGATTAGTTGGTGCGCCCTCTGACCACGTAACATCAGGATGGAATTTAAAATGTTTACATTATTTTGTGGTTCACCTGCCCCTCGAAGGATAAGGAACGCCACTATCTTTGTCGCTCACCTGCTCCTCGAAGGATAGACAACGCCAAAGTGTCTACTTCTTTGTCACTCACCTATCCCTCGAAGGACAAGGAGTACCAAAGAGGGGCAACTGCAGACACCTTATTTTAAATCTGGCAAATTCTATAGTTTTCTTGAACCTTTATAACTACGTTATCCTAGTAAACCCCCCAAACTATAATCCACACTACCTACCCAATGATCCAAAACTATTCTGCTTACCCGGTAACCCAAAATCCTGCAGATACCCTGTTTTCACTCAGAGTCCTACAAACACCTTGTTCTACCAAAAAAATCACCAAAAATAGTAAAATAACTCTTTTTTACCGCATTTTTACTTGGAACTTCACAACAACCTGAACTACAAACCTAACCAAAGAAATTTTCCCAAAGAGACTAGTTATCAAATGCTACCTTGAGCTCAAACCAAATCTCATCATTTCAATCCATGTGAAGATCCCGGTTAATGCCTTCTCATACTGGTATTCTGGCAACCAAACTGCTAAGTTCTCTCTCTCAATGAACTCCACTTCGGTTGGTGCGCCATTTATAGTTTCCAAGCTCACAAAACATAATCTGACTTTACAAAACGCAATAGCAATAAATACGGGATAAAATTAAGGGATTGTGTAATTACCTTTTTGTTACAAGAGGATCAGCATCACTCCTGACCGTCACCTGTAGACTTGGACGGCTAGAGGTGTACCATTTTGTAGAAAACATTATAGGATGAGGTTTTTACAAGGCTTAGGCTTCATCAAGACAAAATAAGGCCTCACTTCAAATCCTTGCTCGAAAAGCACACTCGGTAGAAATTTATATGATGGCTCAAAAATTAATTTTTAACAGCAATAATAAAATTCAAAAATAATATAATTATTTTTAAAACAAAATAGGCAATTTAGATAATTTGTTACTACATATATTATTTTTAAAACAAAGATAATTTGTTACCATATATATTATTTTTCTCAATAATGTTCAAGTCGAGAAAGGCCGGAACCTTGCGTTATAATTGTATCTGGGACCTGCCACCACCATATTAACTTGTCAATCCTGTGGGCGCTCGTGAAATATATTTTGGAGAAACAAGTAACAGGGAGAGAGAGAGAGAGCTTGATTCTAGGAGCTGCGAGAAAGTTATAGAGGAGTTCAGCTGAGAGAGAGAGAGAGGCAACTATGATGGGAGAAGGCGGTAGGGGTGATGGCGAGGTGGCTGCCAACCATAGCGACAAGTTAACACCTGCGGAGCAACAGGTGAGTGCGGTCGAGCAGGTCCGAACCCACTTCGACTCCATCGCACCTTGGCGCCCCAGAAAACCCAATCGCAGTGAGCCAGAGTCGTTGACGCCGGCAGAGCAACAGATGAGTGCGATGCAGCAGGTCCGAACCCACTTTGAGTCCATCGCACCGAGGCGCCCCAGAAAACCCAATCGCAGTGAGCCGGACTCCTCTGACCAGGGAGAAGAAGATGAAGAACAATATCTCTTTGTACCCGAACTCCATAAGCTCCAGGCCCTTAAGTCCCTTTCTCAGGTCTATTTCACATTTCTTTCTTTTTCTTTAACTGGTCCAATTTGTGTCTTATTTCCCTTCCTTTTACTTTACATGATGGTAGCTCTCTTTTGTTACTATTTTGCCTTTAGATCTTATTCCACATGTTTGTGATCCTTTTTGGCTTGTATTTTTCATCCACAATTTTAC